CACACGCGACCTCCGGATTCGCCAGACCGGAGGACTAACATTTTGTTAAACTGCAGAAAAACACAAAAAACCTCATCTGACTCACCTCCGACGCATTGCCCATCCTAACCTTTGCCAAATGCTCCTGCTCGTGCTCAGCCAACCTTTTCTGAGTCTCCTCGATATCCTTCCGCTTCTGTTCCTCCATCCGTTTCCGCTCCTCTTCCACCTCCTTGCGCTTGCGCTCCTCTTCCTCCGCCTGTTCCTCCATCTGTTTCCGCTCCTCTTCCGCCTCCTTGTGCTTGTGCTCCTCTTCCTCCGCCTCTCTCTGAGCGTCTGCCTCGAGTCGCGTGATTTCGGCCGCCATTTCCGCCTGCCTCTCTTGGAGGAGTTGCCGGGCAGACTTCGAGTTGCTGGAAGTGGTGTTAGACATGTTAAAACAGTAATAGGAGTTAGGGGGAAAGTTTTAGACGTCTCATGGGCGCCCCGGCCTACTTATATGTCCAGTTCTATTTTTATGAGCTCCACCCATCATCCTGCATTCATAGAAGTCCGGTCCGGACTTCCAGATCAGAAGCCTCATGGGCTTGGCCCTAAGGGGGGGATACTGTCATATCCGGCATTCCAGACCTGGTGTGTGTGAGGAATGATAGCTAGATGAGAAGGGGTGAAAGGGGGAGAAAGGGTGAAGTGGGGTAAAACTCAAATAGACCTCTGGACGCGAGTATAGATTCAGCCCAAGGGGATTGCTACTGAGAACAATTCCTCTAAGTAAAATATGGAGGGGAAACTTGGAGACTAGTAAGGGTAACTGAGAATGGGAGAGCGTGCGATGTTGCGCTTGAAGCGATGCGAGCGCGAACGAGCTGCTGAAGGCGCGATACGATGTGCGACCGAACAGCCGAAAGTTTTGACGGAGCGCGGAGATGCAGGGGAAAAGCTGACGTTTTATATGAACGCGCGACTAGCGGAGATGCGAAGGAGATGCGATGCGACAATAATGAGGGAAGAGAGTTCTGACGATAGATGCGATCAGCGATGTGTGAACAATTGCACGACCATTAATATAGCGCGCGATGTAGTTGGCCGAAGGTTTTTTAGACTTAGAGTCTGAGTATTGCGTGCAAACAGATGATAATTTTGATAGTGGGGAAAGAAGATACATGAAAAATCATAAGTCTAAAGTATATATCATAGTGCGCGTAGCGCTGTTCGGAGCCGAGAAGATAACGGTAATATGTATTAAGGGTCTATAACGCAACTAACGAGACATACGCAATATCACCTTCGGAAATATAATCAGTCTAATGCAAATGAGATAAAATTCGCACCAATGGACAAGCGGAGGACATGGATAGGACGGAGGAAGGACGCGCGACGGAACCGACGAAAAGTGGATGCGAACCAAAGTGCATGCGTGAGCCGCGGCTGTCGGCTGACGATAGGAAGGATGCGCGCCATGGTAGCGATAGCATGCGCTGTGCTAGGACCTGAGGGACACTGCAAAAATAGCCTCTACGAGGCTACAAGGACTACAAGTCCTACACTGGACCCATCACACACATCATTTCCGGACTTCCAGATCTGGCCGACTTCTATCTATCGTCCGGATCCGACCCACGTCTATCTTCCGTGCCTTATCCCTTTGTACGTTCCTTCTCCAGTTAGACTATACTCATTTTCCATACCTCGTTTCATTTCCACCTTTATTTTCCTATGTTCTCATCTCCGTCTTCATTTACTATTTTCCAATAGACTAGTGTTTGACTTTTCTATACACTCCGTCCACAGCCTCGCATAGCTTCAGACTGCGCAGACTGATTCTCCATTAAGTCCTCAGTAGTATATAAACCCTGTAGAATCTTTGTACTTCCTCAGTTCAAATATTATCTTAGATTCTGCTCATTCCCTTCTCTGTCCGACTTGAGTTTCTCCTCTCGTCGTCCTCCACTAGTCTTAGGATCGATTCCTATAGACTTCTCACCTCTGCCTCTACCTCTGGTAGTCCTCTGCTGTTTCCTTTCTAGTTCGGACATCGTCCGGATTAGTCTTATCCTTCATTCCCGAACGTCTGCCAGAATTCCCACGCATCGGACATCGGACTCCGGACTCATCCGACAACCTTCGGACATCGTCCAACAGCCCTCGGAAGTTAGGGGCATGTACTCGGGTAAGGGGTGCAGCGCACGAGCTGAAGCCAAGCCCTTCGGATCCGACCCTTGAGCACGTTCTTAACAATATGTTAGGAAGAAAACCCTTATAAGTAAGAAATAATCACTGTCAAATTACACCAGGAGCGAGCTCACAGCCATACGAACACAAGCAGCGACGTTATGTTAAAACAACATATTAAATTAGAAGCATTCACAACAACATCTCCTATGTAACTACGAAATCTGAGTCTAGCACATCAGGAACCCTGGATTTTCCATGATTTGGCTGAGTTGTCTGATAGCAGGCCCACCAGGCAAATCAAACAAATCAGCTCATCAGATTTTGTCTGATTTCATACATGTGTTATCTGAAATCAGACCACCTGTCTGAAATCAGACCAATCAGTTCCATCAGACAGTCAGAACATCAAATTGTTCAGACATGCATTTCATCTAAACTATCATGCTAATCAGACACCTCAGCTGATCAGATTGACAGATGGTCAGAAATCTCAGTTCATCATGGCTCTCATGAACATAAAAAACAAAAAAAAAAGAATTGCACCTGGCCAGGTTTGAACTCTCAACCACCCATGTGCACCTAAGGTCACATGATATTATGCACACTTCGAGTGCAGCACAACCACTAGGCTATGAGACCTTTCTGGACTTGTGAAATATTTCACAACTTTGTTATTTTTGTTCCATGTCTTAATGAAAGTTGTAGTCCTAGTGGAGACAAGTCTATGGCTAGTCTTGGCTTGTCAATTGGTAGTTGTTTAAGCAAGATATAAGCAAAATGAAAATGAAACATCGGCAAATTTGTCAAAAATGCAAAAATTAGAAGTGAATAAAATCCTTGCATGTCTTAATGAAAGTTGTAGTCCTAGTTGAAATGAGTCTATGGCTAGTCTCACTTTGTTAATTGGTAGTCATTTGAACAAGATATAAGCAAAATGAAAATGAAACATCGGCAAATTTGTCAAAATGCAAAAATAAAAGTCAGTAAAATCCTTATGTGTCTTAATGAAAGTTGTAGTCCTAGTTGAAATGAGTCTATGACTAGTCTTATCTTGCCAATTGGTAGTCATTTGAGCAAGATATAAGCAAAATGAAAATGAAACATTGGTGAGTTTTGAATAGAAATTCTGCAGTTTTGCAAAAGTTGAATAGTCAGATTATCTGACCTACTACAGTACTTGACACAGCTCTAGTGTCTGCATGATCAGATGGGCTGGGTATCTGGATGTTTGATCTCACTGATGTGTCTGACTGACTAATTAGGCTGCATATCTGTGTTTATGATTTGTCTGATGAAGCTGATGATTATGAAGTCCTGGCAGAACTGTAGTGTTGCATGGGTAGATATACTTGAGGGCCATGTAGTTCTGAAAGACTGATGTACTATATAGCCTGCTATGTTTGAAAAGCAAGACATCCTGCAACAATGATATCCTGCTGTGTCTGAAATACCTGAGCATCATGATGTCCTGATGAACTGAGGGTATGTTGTGTCTGACATCACTGTCTGACTGTGATTTTGACAATTTGGGATTATGATAGGTCTGAAATCAGACCAGTCAGGTCATACAGGTATATCAGCTAAATCGGGAAAAATCCAGGTTTCCTGATGCATTACAACTTGAACATGATATGCAGTTTACACCGTGCCAATCAATACCACAGGGTCGGGATGGAAAAGCATGGTGTGAGCACAAAAGTCAGACCATATCTGTGCAAGTAAGCCTTCCCTACTTTGATCGAATCCACCCACAGGTCCACCCTTGAGCCAGTGCTCTATGAACTGGCCCTCAAGGGGAATCCTTGCGTCCCACCTCGGCCACCTGCCGTTTGGAAAATCTGGGCAAGCGCCAACAAACGCCAACCAGAATGTGTCGCGGCCCCATGTCCAATATTGTGAATCCTCCGGTATAGTAACCAACCAGAGCCAGATCTGCTCCGACAGCTGTGACCAATGATACGAATCCATGGGATTGAAATTGTGCGGCAATGGAAGGAATGGTATAGGTATATCAACGTTGTTGCAGGGAAGCGCCTTTCCACTTTTGCTCAAAACGTCGGAGACCTAAAATTATTGAAGTTGTTATATTAATACAAATGAGAGCAAGTTGCACTCTGACATCGTCAAAAGATATGGAACACCCAGAGTGAGGGTATCCATCCATAGAAAGAGCTTCCAAAACTGGTGTCGTGAATGATCTATACTCTTCTACAATGGAAACAGATATCTGGATGGGTCAGAAAAAATAAGAATCATTAGCAATTAGTCTGAAAGCTGCAGGAAAGGGCAATACAATGACATCACGAACAAGGTGCCTTGGAAGAGCACCTGAAAAGCATATACCGATACATAAAGGCTGGAGGGACATGTCTTGCATGTCCCACATGCGAATTGGAGGGTGAAAGGTTGAGGTTTGAACCGTGCAAGGTGTCATGGCACAGTTGGTCGCACTTGGAGGTTGACAGGGATTCATATTGATAATATTGAAGGACAAAGGTCGATGACTGAATGGTTCGGATCAGCACATGATCAGCGGACTTGTCACTTGAAGCTTGAAGGATCAAATGCATCAATCATCCGGATTCTGTTCACCGACATCAATCAGCGGCTGCCAGTATGGATGAATCACTTATCAATGGGACAAGTAAGTATTTCAAGAGTTTATTGAATGAGCTTCACTTACATTTACAGTTATGAAATATGCTAATGCAGGATGGTCTCGTGTCATTTGCATGGTCTGCCCTCAGTATAAGGGCGCACTCTGGACAATCGACCGGAAACATCTCAATTCTCACTGCGAGAGTGCTAGGCACCATCGACATGCTGTGCTCCAACATTCTGGGAGAATGTGTTTATCTAAACCCTTCTTCCGTGTATGCAGACGTACAACCCACGATGTCAATACCTTTGACAAGGATGTACCTGGACCTTTCCAGGGTGAAATAGGCCAACATGAGCCCGAAGACGCCTCCATTGAACCTGAAAGTGGGCAGCCAGTAGCAATATCACCATCCATTGAAGAAGAAGTCCCGCTGTCACCACCCGTTGAAGAAGAGGTCCCGCTGTCAACACTTTGGGATGTAGAGTGGGACCGTCATATTTATGAAATCAGTGGCAGACAAGATCTTTTTGCAGAATTGAAGACTTCGCTACTTGGAGGCACTAGCCTCTTTGCAACGCCTCTTGCTGCTCTCAAGGACGAGATTTGCACTCAGGATGATGGATTTGATCTTGGAATCGAGCTGTCGGGTGAGTCGTTAGTATAACTATGCTCCTTTGTGCTACTGACACAATCATAGATGAAATCCCTGCCGAGTATACCCCGACAGTCAAACCGGGGAGCCCATACTATCCTTGGCCATCGAAGGCAGTAGGTTTCATCTCGTCATTCTTTCGGAATTTGAGGATGCTCACTATAATTCAAAAGCACTTCTTAACCTCACTTTTGTTCAGCTCCGCACGTCTACCCTTTTCAGATGCACAGAAGAAAGCTGCACTCACCTGGGCCAAGGAACTCGGTGCACGCAATGTCCCATCTCTCAGGTCCATCAAGCAATCGAATGACTGTATATGTGAACTTGTCGGAAATCCGATACGCAAAGTTACATCGGCATCCGGCAATATCTTTTACATCAATGATATCAGACATGCGATTGCGAAGGTAAAATTACATGGGCCTCGACCATCCTGTGCTAATCATACCCTTAGGACTATGCCAACCCACTCACCCACTTCTCTATGCTGGATTATCCGGAGGATGGAGGAGCCGGGATGTCGCAGGTCTGTCATGGGCAGAAGATGCTGTTAGAGATGCCGTCACCTCCAGCAGCTCGTGTTGGTGGTAAAATATATTTTACCAACGAACTTCTGCAGGAATGCTCGGGAGCCTATTTTGTTCCTGAGCGATTTTTCAACGCCTCATATGGATCATCGAATCAAAGGGACTCACAAGATCTACGACAGGAGAAGGAATTGTATGCCATGGGTCATGCAGTGCAATATACAGATGTATGTGGCCTGATCTCGCAGAAACTCTGATGACATACTGACACATCAGCTAGGCTGGTTTCATTGTCAATGACAAGCAAGAGGTCATGCCGGTGTCGATCTTCAGGCGCTCATTTGAAGATATCATGGATGAGCTTGTGTGTGGGGTCACACATGAGTACACATTTGAACCAAAAGATGATTCTCTGCTTAGCATGATCTCAGCATTGTCTGAGAAATATTTGAAGCTCGTACCGCATCCACTCCATAAAAAGGCAAAGGGTCGGATGGTCTATTCCGTCCCGCTTGTCATATTCATGGATGACGTCTCTGGAAATATCTCGAAACAATGGAACAAACATCACGCAATATACATGTCGAACACCAACCTACCTCGGGAGATGTTAGAGAAAGAATTTTGCGTTCGATTTGTAATGTCGTCCCCACATGCAGCACCAATGGAATTAATGCATTCAATGAGGGAGTCTATCAGGTGTGTATTCTCCGCCGTCCATGACATCTCATTGTCTCAAGTATCGAGTAGCAAGGCAGCGGACTCAGGGATCATTGCGTGGGACTGCAAATTTGACGAGGAGGTGATGCTCGTTCCTCAAGGTCTATTTTTAGCGGGGGACAATCCGATGCAGGCTGAGGAATGCAGCCATGCTGGGTTGAATTGTAATTATTTTTGCAGGACCTGCCATGTCGGCGGCACAAAAGAATATAAAGAATCGGAGGTCGGTTATAACAGTATTTTTATGGTATGTTGCGTACAAAACAGCTACTATCAATTGATCTGACGAATAACACAGGAAGGAAATCCCCGAATGCCTGAAGACATGAAGTCTCAAGTCTGTCAGCAGTTTGACACAGCGTTATGCTCAGGAGCTGCCGGGAAGATTGTGACCACAACAACATTGACTGGAGTTTGGGACTCTACCTCATCGTACCTCATCAATGCGCTGGTGGAATTGGGAAAGAAGCTGCAAAAGCGCAAAGCAGGGCAGCTGGCATCGGCAGAATCTGTTGTTCGTGCTGCCCTGGAGAAACAGCTCGAGGACATGTTGCAAGGCAGGACAATTGAGGATGCAATAAACCCCCTTCTGGGAATGGACAGTGAGCATTCTCGGATTGATTTTCATGCACTGTTGAACTCATTCAGATTCTATATGTAGGACTGAACATTCACATGGATACTCCTACGGAGATCCTTCACACTGTTCTCCTTGGCGTTGTAAAGTATTTCTGGGGCCAGACCGTTTTCCTCCTTGAGAAAGCTAAGCTGCTCGGTCTCTTTCAGACACGTCTCGACTCATTGGAACAGGATGGCTTGAATGCGCCGTCCTTGAATGCTGAATATATTTGCCACTATAAGGGTGGTTTGATTGGCAAGCATTTCAAAAGTCTTGCTCAAGTTATGCCATTTTTAATCTATGATCTCGTCCCAAAGAGCATTCTCAATGGATGGACCACAATCGGAGAGCTGGTGGTGCTTATTTGGCACACGAAAATCAATAACACTGAAAGCTATTTGGCGGACCTCACTCGAACCATCAATGACTTTCTCAATGTCACTGCACAGTGTGCGCCAAGTATCCTAATGAGCAAACCGAAATTTCACTTTTTAGTCCATCTCCCCACTGTACATATGACATTTTGGACCTGCTATTGTTTTATCAACTGAGCACTATGAATCCTTCAATCATGTCTTCCGCCTTACATGCATTTACAGTAACCAACGAGCTCCAAGTCGAGATACATGCACAACATTTATTTGCAACAACACCATCAAACATATTACTACAGGTGGCTATTGGTATGATGCCAATGCGGGGGGCTGGGTTCAGGGTGGCCCGCTAGTTGTCGCCCACCTTGAAGGTCATCCAGAACATGGCCGGCTGCTTGGGATTCCCTATGAAAGTTTAGCTGATCCAGGTACAGTGACTCACGCAATTGCAGGATCTGTCTGAAGACTGACCATCCAAACATAGGCACAGGTAAAATTTTGGCACCCAAGACATCTGGGCGTGAATTCGGCCCATGGACATGCTGTGTGGAATATTCAAGAGGGACGGTCTACAAAGACCATCTCACTCTCATTACTACCAGGGGGGTTCCATTGTGACTAGCGAGCACGAAAATGTCCAGTTGGGTGGGCACATTATTTTTCAAGACATGGTGGAGAACAAGGTACATCTCTGCTACGTTTCTCCTAGCAGAATTACTAACTATTCAACAGACTCGTTGTAGGACTGGAAGTCCTTACAGCCTCGAAGAGGCTATTTTTGCAGTATTGTTAAGAATGTGCTCAAGGGTCGGATTCGAAGGGCTTGGCTTCAGCTCGTGTGCTGCGCCCCTTAACCCAAGTATGTTGCCCCTAACTTCCGAGGGCTGTTGGACGATTGTCGAAGGTTGTCGGATGAGTCCGGAGTCCGATGTCCGATGCGCGGGAATTCCGGCGGACGTTCGGGAACAAAGGATAAGACTAATCTGGATGATGTCCGAACTAGAAAGGAAACAGTGGAGGACTACCAGAGGTAGAGGCAGAGGTGAGAAGTCTATAGGAATTGATCCTAAGACTAGCGGAGGACGATGAGAGGAGAACTCAAGTCGGACGGAGAAGGGAATGAGCAGAGTCTAAGATAATATTTGAACTGAGGAAGTACAAAGATTCTACAGGTTTATATACTACTGAGGACTTAACGAGAGTCAGTCTGCGCAGTCCGAAGCTATGCGAGGCTGTGACGGAGCGTATAGAAAAGTCAAACACTAGTCTATCAGAAACTAGTAAATGAAGACGGAGATGAAGACATAGAAAATAAAGGCAGAAATGAAACGAGGTACGGAAAATGAGTATAGTCTCACTGGAGGAGGAACATACAAAGGGATAAGGCATGGAAGATAGACACGGGTCGGATCCGGACGTTAGAGAGAAGTCGCCGGATCCGGAAGTCTGGAAATGTATGTGTGTAATGGTCCAGGTCCAGGTCCGGAACGCGGGGATATGACAAGTATCCCTCAGCACCCTATTGCTTTCCTATATGAAAGCGCAGCTTTCCCCGCGAGCCGCGCATAGCGGCCGCAACTTTCCCGCGATGGCCGCAACGTTCCCGCGCACGTACACAGCCGCGCTTAGCGGCCGCTTTTCTCGCGCTTCATCAGCCAATGTTTCCACAACCCATCCATAGTCCAAAACCAACCCAATGGTACGTTATTTCATGATTATATTTACATATCAGACCATTTTCGCATCGGACCCACCTTTATTTCGTCATAGACCCTTATTTACATATAGCTTTACATACCTAACTCGGTAGCGCATCGGCTCGGTCCGTGTGACAGCGCTTAGTGCAATACTTAAGCACTAGCAGTACATATCATTCAGTAGCTTGTTTTCCGGACATTCCAGTAGCAACTCCCATTAGCCTACAGTTGGTAGCTATTGGTAATCAGTATCTATTTACCGCTCGCATTGTATCAGTTATCAACTGCTCTACATCTATTTCTATTGTCCTTCATCTCTATTATCATCCGAACCCCTCACACATCGGCCGCTTCGCAGCCGTGTCTTTCCCCGCGCCTTCGGCTTTCGCCAGCCACTACGTTCCGCCGCTTTCCCGTGCTTCGCATTGGCCAACAAGCGGCACCTTCTGCGTCCATTTCTAGACCTTTGCTGCACTAGCTTCCCCTTTAGGGTCGAACGCACTTGTCCCCACAGGTATAGCAGATAGGCAGTGCACAACCTACAACATAAAGATATCAGTTTGGAGCCTTTAGCACCACTCTGAGTTGTATACACACATCGTGTTGGATGTATTCGGGAAATCTTGATATCAACGGCGCGACAGCGCTTAGTTACTGTTTGTCGCTCTTCAGATTTTTTCTTTTATGCCTGTGTGCCATCATTTACTTCATCTTCCGTGCCTCCGCCTTGAGAATGAGGAGCGCATTGTGATGGGAAAGGTAACCTTCCATTTCCTGTATCTATCCTACACAAATTAAACACATTGCAGGATATTATATGCACAGTCAACTTGCAGCACAACTGCCTCGACGCGAAATGCAGAGACTTGTCTATGAAGCATCTGTGGCAGGAACATATCCAAACCGACCGAACGATGAGCATCATGGAACACCAACCCTCACCGGAATATTTCCTCAACACATGGTCCATCCACAACTATCAACACATACACTCTGTTCTCCCAGAATTCCTTCATGAGACCCCATTGCATGTCATGGATCCCAGTGCTGTCCGAAAAACTGCCGTGCAGCAAATGCAGGGAAAACGGCTGGCAAAAAAGTCTGGAGGAGAGGTAGTGAGCCTGCCCCACGACGAAGATCGCAGTGTGCATCCTGCATTCAATCATGCCAAGAAAACAGCCCAAGGCAAAGGCCACGTCCAAGAAACAGTGTAAGTCGACACGCGTGGGGAAGCAGCAGCAACCTGTCCAAGCTGCAACATGGAATGGGAGAGCCGAAATGTCTGTCTTATCACCACCTGTCCCAATCTGCTGAAAACGACCTGCGACACCCCCTTCCACACCCTCATTATTGTCCACCTCCTCCTACACAATTCCCTGCATCTATCTCCCCCCAAGCGGCTGGTCCTTCAAGCTTGCCGTCCCTCCAGACCATGCTACACCAGTGGCATCTCCCCCACACCAACATTTGCACCCCCACCAACATTTGCACCCCCACCAATATTTGCACCACCCCCACAGGTGCCTCCTTGGGCGTCTCAGGTGCCTACTTTTGTTACATCTTCTAGCCACGGCCATTATACATCTATCATCCGCTCTGCTCCACCTCCACCTATTCAAGTACCTACTCATAATTCACTGTATACCCCAGCCCCAGAAACTGATTCCCGTCAGTCAGGTTCTTATCATTTCCCTCATCACTATTATCCTCCGTCATAGTTTAATATCATTTTGATTTTGATTTGATGATGTGGTGTCACTGTCGGCAAACCATGTGCGTGAGAAATCTCGCTACTGTAACACCCGAAGCTCAACCGTTTGGCACGTCCAGTTCAGTTTGACTCAGTGCAACATTCAAAGGATCTTCAAGATGATGTTGAATTGCTTTCCTCTTCGCTCGACTTCTGGGGGCTCCCACAGAGCAAGTAGCATTGGTCCCGGACCACAAGGGCATGGCTTGGCCCCACCCCAGTCTGGTGTCAGACCTCGTGCTCGCTCAATACTCAGGTCTGATGGCAGGCTTGTCACACACACTCTGGTCCCGCAAGTCACAGACCACCCATCAGCTCAAACTCGCAGCTACAGGCCACCCGCAGACAGGTTTCAAACCATGAACGATTTCTGTTCTGGATACTTCCCAGGTTTTCTCCCCCATGCTCACTGACACGTCCATCTTCTCCATCTGAATCGTCCGACCTTGACGAGCCTATCAGTGCAGGTACTTAGCGTCGTAGGGACTCCAGCACTGACATGATTCAACTCACCCCCAGACGCACCAAATGTTTGAAAATGCATGCACAGAAACTGGCCAGTGATCGCAGAATACCATTGCAGAAATTGCTTGCATTCATTGAGGTACATCTCTCTCTTGTGTTTTGCTATGAGTCTGACTGGGTTCACACAGAATGGTAATTTATTTTTCATGCTTCTTGAGCTGAGGGCCGGTCAGATTGAACAAGAAGAAGGGAATGAAGCACACGCCCTACAAGAATTAGAGAAACTGATTTCTTCAAAGGACTTTGAGGTGCAGCTAATTCATTCATGTATTCATTCTTTAACTGGTTGTATTGTATGCAGAGCGCACTAAAGAGTCGTCTTACTGCCTGCATGCTATCCCCTAACCTGACTGCATACGTGACTGATACCCAACAACATGTCATGGTAGGTCGTTTTCATTCAATCTTGCCCAATCTCACTAGTTACATGGTAGGAATTTATTCAAGGGCACCTTGAACTTTTCAAGATCTCTGAGGGCCTCTTCAACGACAGTGAGTTGCGTATGCAATTGGGTAAATTAGTTACGTGGCTTTTGGCGACCATCTGCGGTCAGATCAAGACTGCGGTAAGTACAGTTTGAACCTATAGGAGTGTTTACGGTGTTCATTATATCCTTAGTTAACAACATTGATCATCAAGAGAACAAGTATTATGGACGCTCTCAAGCCCCTTATACACAGTGGTATGGAAGTCGACTCTTCACACTGGACTAGGTTTGCGTTTTTGGTGTGTTTCTTCAGATGTCTAATGTATTTTCACTTATCCGAGACAGCGGCGCTGTATCCGCATTTTCTTGATCGGAGTTCGTGATCACAAAAAGGTCTCCCTCCAGGATCTTTTCTCCCCCTACCTCATTGCCTCGCTTCACCCGGACCTCCAACAGCACATCCAGCAAACACTCAAAGTCAATCTAGTTCAGCTGGCACAGGAACTCGAGGATGGCACACCTCACGCCTCTGGCAGTGGGAATCAAGATGAC